CTGTTGCTAAGTGTCACGGACGAGACGAATTTAGTCGTTGAACTCCAGTCATTGTATCAACATTTATGATGTTTGATTCTGCGCCTTGTGTCAATTCAGAATTCTATATCTAGATCTGGAGCCTGAGAATTATTTGATAATTTTTGGTTTTCTAGAGAAGTGGTTATATCTGATTAGTTTTAATTTTGATACTTTAATTTTATGCTATTTTTATTGCTTGTTGATTTTCTGTAGTGTTCACTTTTTTGTATAATTTAGTGAAATGTTATCGGTTATGGGATTTTTGTTGAATCAACTGTTTGAATTGTTTCGGGAATATTGGCGTTCTTTTCTGATTGATCATTTGGATAAAAATAATTTTTCCCTTTGTATAAGTACTAGATTTGCTCGCCTTCTGTAATTATTTCTCGCCGTCTCGCGGATTTTTTCGCGGTCTGACTCTTGCGGTCTGTAATTATTTTTCCTTAAATTATAATCAACTTTTGACTTGGTTCCATAACGATTGTTGGAGCCACTTCTATTGCGATTGTATAGGTAGATACTAGAATGGTCGTTTGAAAAGATTCTAAAACGTTTTTTTTTAATGATTGATTTGTACTGTAATTACAGTAATCACTTCTGTTTGAGTTTGATCTCGAAAAATTGTTATTAAAAAGGCTATCACAGCTATTGGAACGACTCTATTTATTTTGTGTTTTTTAGTATTAGTTTCTTCTGTCTGAAAATATTACTCGAGAATTCTTATTGTATGGCGATTTTGATCTATAATAATTAGAAATTGAGGTAATGGTTTTCCTGAATTATTATTTTTTTGCATTTTTTCTTCTAGGTTAATTTTAAACTTTTTTCATATATTGGCTAAAAGGTTTATTTGTTTTTTGTTTTGCTGGTCGACTGGTTTTTAATATGTTTTTGTCGACTTTTTGCGATGCTGTGTCCGTAGTGTCTAAAACAATTACATCATTTTTTGAATGAGGGTTTTCGTTTAAAAATTGGGTTCTTATCGTATATGTTATGTAATCGTGTAATCTTTTTTGCTAGTCTATCTTCAGCGTCTTGTATATTGTTTATTTGTGTTGAAAATGTTTGAGTATTTAAAGCTTTTCGTAGTTTTAGTTTTTCTGTTTCTTCTAATTTGAATGGTAATTTGCATGTTCTAGTTTGTCAAGAAATTTTCCTAAATCAATATCTGGTTTGCGAATGGATGAAGGATATGATGCTTTTTTTATTTCTTTTTTTCGTGTTTCTGATGTTAAAGTCGTTTTTAAAGTTTTTGCAATTTTTAGAATTATCTTAGTCGAAGAGTATGCTTTTCGTACCAACGTTTCTGCTTTTTTAGCCAGTTCTTTTATTGTTTCGTTTGATAAATTGTCGATTTGATTACCTAAATATTTTTGGTGTCGTTTTTTTTCTCTTGGACTTTTTTTGAAACTTCTTGTGTAAAACGCTTACAATCGGATTTTGTTTTTATTGATTAAAATGAAAACTTTTTTTTTCGAGCAGCTTCGTTGAGTGTGGTTTGTAGTAACACTGTACAATTAGGAACCCAATCTCAGCAAAAAGTTATATTTATAGGTTCAGGGTCTATATATTTTTTGTATTTGCTGTTACGGCATTCAAGTAGTCTTCAACAGAACATTCAGAGTATGTTCCTGTGAAAACCATTAGGGGTTTAAATGATGTAATTGATGGTCCGTCCATACAGAATGGATTCAAGGTCATTTGTAGTGATTCATCTGCACTTGATATTTGATTGAATATTGTGAGTTGATGTCTACTGAATTCATATTGTTGTAAAAAAAAATATGCTATTGGCATTTGTCTATTCATGGCTTCAAGTTGATAGCTTTGAGTAGTCATTGGGTTTTGTGTTGGTATCTTGTGGTTTAAAAATGTAGGAATTAGTTTTATTGTGTGATCAGTTTTTCGTTGTTCAGTTGTTTGTGAATCAAAATAGGGAAGAAGCCTTGATGGTCATATAATTTAGGTCAAGTTAGTTTCGAAAGTAGAAAATTTGAGAATAGTAAAAAATAACTATAAAATTATTTTAAAAAATAACATTTTTGTAGGGTTTAGATGAAAGAGTCAGAAGGAAAGAAGTTTCCTTTCAATAAACGCTGATATCCAATGACAACTAAAATTTAAACTATTTTTGTTTATTTTTTGTCCGTTTTGTGATAAATTTATAAAAATGAAATGAAACTTTTGAAATGCTATTTGAGAAATGAAGTTTTGAGATAGATAGGTTTGTTTACGTCTATTCGGTACTGGTGGTTATATTGGCCTCAGTTGATTCAAATTTTTTGTTCATTTTTTAAGGCTATTTATATTTAAATTGATGGCTCATATTCATGCAGCTATCATAGAAGAATTAGGGTTTACTGCACAAATTGCTTTTCTGCTTGTTTTTGCTTTGCAATACATATGTGGTTTTCATCTTTTTGCAATGGAGGGTCGTCATGGATATTGGCTCGTCTTTAGTAGACTTATTAGGACGTCGAGACAAGCTAATTTTGTTTCTTTATTTCTAAAATTAAGTTAGTAGTAGGTCTGCTCGAGGCTCGTTGGTCGCACCAGATGATTTTAGGTCCGGGCTGATTTTCTCATAGATAATTTTTTTTGGATAGGATACTCTGTCTGTTCGTCGCGCTAACTATTTTTGGCCGGATAAATTCGTACAACTCCTTAGTCTAATATCAATCCTAACTTTACTCTTAAATCCTATTTTTCCTTGTCTCAATAGTTCTAGAGGTAATCTGGTTTATCGCGAGGTTAGAGAAGAGAAGAAACCAACTGATTTCAATCTTATTTCTAAATTCTCTAAACCTCCAGGTTTTCAGATTTCCAAATTTAGATTAAGGTTTAGTTATAATTTTTGATTGGTTAGTTAATAATATTTTACAGTGAAAAAATATATTATTTAAATAACTAGTTTCAAGCTGGTTCCAAAATGTTATATGTTTAAAAAATTAAATCTGATTTCTGCTGATCAAGCAACTGTTCATTTTAATACTTTTTCATATTCAAGTGACTGCAGAGCAACATCTGCAATTCAGAGTGAAATAACAATTGAGTGAAAATGCTAATTCCAGGCAAAAAAAGAGTAAGCTTATTGCTATGTTATACAAGCTTGCTGAGCAATCGAGCTAACAGAACAGCGCTTAAATAAACAGTAAAAAATCTCGGCTTAGAGCAGTTTGTTATTTTCAGGATTTTGTTTTGGCTGGAAAATGTTGCATAATTTTTCTAAAACTCAGACATGGATTTTTGAGAAAATGGGTATTTCAGAACTTTTAAAGGATTGGACCAATAAATTGTGCAGCCATCCGCACCTCGAAATTAGAAATAAGATTGTTTTCGTGCATGTTTTTTGAAAAGTGGAAAAATGCGCGTAAGAGACCCAATATTAGTCCCCCCCTTTTACCCCGGGTATTTAGCTCTACCTTGCTTTACCCAATGTTTCAATCAGAGACCGGCTTTTACTTGCATGTGTGCCCTTTAGCATGCGGCTATTAGCGCAACTAGATTTGAGTTTGATGGGGGACTATTTGACCACATCTGTTTGCGCCGGTGCCGGTACCATATATTTTACATTTTCTAGACATTTTCTGATGGAGTCCGATGTTAACGTGATCGGCCCTGATACGCCTTTTCTTGTGGAATATGGTATTAACCCGCACAAAATTACAATTTCTCAAAATTGGGGAGGGGGGAGGGGGACATTGGACAGAATAGATTTACTTACAAATAAAATTTACTTTGAAAAATAAATTGAAACATTATTTAGTTGATTCAAAAAAGCTAAGAAATTCTGTTCTCGTTTTCACTGAAATTTTTCAAAACCAATTTTGTGCGTTGTTTATTTTATCAAATGTACATTTTAAACAGATCCGATTTGCAAAATAAAACATGCTTACGCTATATATTGATACTCTGCTCTTTTCGAGAAGCAAAACAATAAAAGATGAAGTTCTCATGTCCGCTTTACATTATAAGACTGATGACTCGTTGACTGTCAGATGCTACAGATGGCGTCCATTTCATTCAATTAATTGACTTTCTCCTTCACTAAACGTCGAATGTATTTTTGTTGTTCCTTTTCATGCCATTTATATTTACGCACGCGGTTATTTAGCTTTTGTTTCGTTTAATTTAGGCAATCGGTTACCTATTTGCGGATAATTTAAATGACTATCTCTTGTTTTGCGTTATTTTGCGTGAGGCGTTAAAGATAGAACGACTTTTATCTTTTTATGTATAACTTGTCGTGATGTCATGATATTTGATAGCGAAAGTATTCTACATTTAGTAACGGGGTCTAGGACAACAAGCCGACGGGACTTCAAGCCGACGGCACTTCAAGCCGAAATTAAAACTTTACAAGCACCCCAAAACGCTATTTTATCATCTGCAAAATGTTGCTTTTCTAAAATTTTGGCAAGTTTAGTCCATAGTAAGCGTTATTCATGACAATGCACCACTTGTGATTCGCATCCGTTAATAAAATCAGCCGGTTTTTGAAATGCATAAATTATAAACATGAAAAATGCCTTCAACCATATTTTACGTTTCAACTTTCCGGAACATCATTTGGAGGCTTAAATTATATGCAAACGCCAATAACTAGTGAAGAAAGATCATGAAATTGAGAAATTAATCAAAAAAGTTTTCAAATTGTTCATATTTCACGACTTATAAGGAATTATTCGGCTTGAAGTCCCTAATTTTACAATTCGGCTTGAAGTCCCGTCGGCTTGATGTCCGGCACCCTTAGTAACGCAGTCTTTTTGCGTGGGGACTATACTATGCTCGGAGTGCGGCCAGTATTTAGACAGCCGCGTATTCATACTGGTCAGTATTTAGACAAATACTGTTTCAACCAATCAGAATCGGGAAAAAACATAAATAATCCAAAATAAATAATAATTATTTATTAATTTCTTCTTTGTCTCGATTCTGATTGGTTGAAACAGTATTTGTCTAAATACTGACCAGTATGAATACGCGGCTGTCTAAATACTGACACGTAACCACTATGCTCTCTTCTTTCTTTTCCTTTTGACTCGACTACATGCAATTCTGCCCTGAAAGACTGCGATTTTCTGTGTTCAAATTCACTGACCCCATCCCCTCCCCGGCAGAGCCGAAGGAGTGGACTGTACTGCCCGCAAAACACTACCCATCACTCATCTGACTGTCTACATCTTTAACAGTAAGTTCGACTTTGATCACTCAGTAAAAAGTAAGATAGTTGGGTTTGCGTTGCTAAAAGTAGACGATCATAGAGTAGACAAAAGTCGTGAGTCAATATCAGAATCGAGATAAAGTAAACAAACGTACGAAATATGTTTTTTTCTCGATTGTGATGGACTCACGACTTGGTCAATTTTATGATTATCTATTTTTTGACCGCACTCCGGTAGTTGACGGCTCTATAATCGACCGGCCAATAGGACGACAGCTGTTATAAGACAACAACCGCTTTTGACGGGACTCTAAGACGACGCTACACGCAAATTCTCCAATTGTGTTTCTGAGAAATATAAAATAAAATTCGCTTAAATTCAAACTTTAATTTACAAGTTTAACTCTCATTTGTCGTCTCCTTGTCTTTTCGTCTTATAGCACCAGTTGGGTATATTCCTGAATTATGTAGATTATCCGATGAAAAAACTTTTTACCACTAAAGGTTTGGAAAAGGCAAGGCAGGGTTTTTTGTAATCGGGAACAAGACTTTTTAGATCTTGTTTACTATTCCCCCCTATTTCGATTTTGAGAAAATCAACTCAACTTTGGCGGCCAAATTTTCAATAGCTTAAAACAATTTTCAGAAAAAATATATTTAAAATTTTTTACGTGGGTATTATATAAAAAGTGAGTAATACAAATACGAACGCGCGAAAATGAAAACCCACTTAATTGTTGACATTTTTGAATTCCTTATTTTATACAGAAATGGTTGTCAAAAATAATACATGCATAGGGGGGGGGGTAGTTATCAAGGTCCAAAGGGGGGAGGGGGGGAATAGTTAACAAGATCCGACTTTTTTTCCGTTAACGACTTTTACACATTTCTGCTTCAGTACTGCTGACATGGCCACTTTCATGAAAATTCAAATTAAACTTTTTCTCAAATTCATTTGAGGTAGTAGTATTTAATTTTTTCAATTATGTATACTATTTCGGATTTGGGGTGTTCGTCCTAATTTCTGTCGGCTAATTTTCCGTTTTTTTTTCAAATGCAATTTATATTATCTGGTACGCTTTTCTAGTATTTTTTTCCAAAGCTTGGGTTTTTGATTTGTTGATACGAAAAGTAGTCTGGCAGGAAGTTTTGATCTAATTTTTTGGCATTTTTTTTTCAATTTCTCGAAAACTGCTCTTCCAAATCAGATCTTTCGAGTACAATCGAAAGTACAGGTTGTGAGGAAATTCTCCTGCTTATGCGGCTACGCGCAAATTTATTTACATACAATGTGATGGCACTCGGAAAAGTCAAACTTTTGACTTTTCGATCGTTTTTTTTTTGATATTATTTAAAGTTTTTTTAACAAATTCCCTCCCAAACTTCAGATTTTGGGTTCAATAAAAAAGATATATGGGGAGCTCCCCTGCATGAGCGGATAACCCCTTCTTAATTCAGCAAACTAAAGTTTTGGCCTTCGGAAAAGTCAAGTTTAAAATTTCTGACAGTTTTTTTGGAACTCCGACTTTTCTCAAAAAGTACCCTGCCAATTGCCAGAGCTAGATTAATGGTTCAATGGCAAAAACAGATTGTAGTTAATGGCTGCATAAGGCGCTACGCCCTAAATTTTGGGATCTTTTTGACTTACCCTACCAAATATGAGATTAAGGATAAAATGGGTTAAACCGGTTCTGCATGATTTTCCTACAGAAAAGTTAACTCCATAGTTGTTGTTAGAAATCATGTTATGTCCTTGGAAACGCCCTTATTCTGAAGTTTTCGCGACTTTTCTTGAAATTGACGCATTTTGTCTGGCATCAGTGAAAAATATTCTAGAAATAGCAAACAGTTACCTCCAATTTTTGCTGGACGCCTAGTTTCAACTAAAGTTGAATGTTGTTTGTTGTAATTTATGTTGTTCTTAATGTTTTTTATTTAAAATTTTGTAATTTACCAACTCTGATTTCTAATAAGTTAGTTGATTTTGTTTCGGTTAATTATGTTTCGTTCTTATGTTTTATCGGTTCTGCCAACTTATGTTGCATAATGTCAAGGGCAACTTTTAAATACTTTGATTTTTTCTGCTTTGGTCTTAAAAGTTTTGACTGTAAAAAATGTCATATATTTTTTCACTACAGTTTTAACATTTTTTCCGGTTTACTGAGGGTCGACTAATTTTTTTTGCCCTAGTTAACGCTAATTAGTTGTTTATCAGTGGTTTTCTAGGCTGTTCATGAGCATAAAAGGAGCCAAAACTGTGAAACTTTTGTAGATATAATTTTTGGACTATTTTTTTCAGCTTTATTTTTCAAAAACATGATTTTGTTGTATCACTATCTTGTAACGCATTGTTTTTATTGTAGCGCAAGTGATGTGAAGCTTTGCTTCGCATATGTGTTGAAATGTTTGGCCCATTTTTTGTACTTGACGCTTTAAAATAACATCAAAAATATTAAATTGATTCAAGTGTGATAGGGTATCCCAAGAAGCTAGTAGATTCTCAATAGACGCAAATAATGTGGTAATTTTTTCGCAATTTTTGCAATATTTCTCAATTTATTGCTCTTATGATGTTAATAAAAGCTAAAGCACCGAATAAAAGCGCGAATGAGCAGGGTGATTTACGTTTGAGATAAAGTTTAGAAAAAGAACGAAGCGGTGTCTACAGATTTACTTAATTGCTGCTTTTGCTTAGGACTGCTCTGTCTCACTTGGTTTCTACAGAGACCAGGCGCGGATCTATGAACTTCTCGAGAAGGGGCGGATTTTTACGTCGACCAAATTGATTTTCTGAGCTCTCCCAAACCAGTATAAAGCCGTGATTTGACCAAATTTTTAGCGCCGCAGGCAAATTTTTGAAAAAAAAAATAGGCCAAAAAAGGAGTTTTCGGCACTTTTTGAATATTTTTGACCGAAAAATTGCCTTTTTTCGGCGCGCACTCCCTCAAAATTAGTATATTTAGGCGCCAAAGGCGCCTTTAGAGAAATTGTAAGGTCAGTCAGCCAAAAATGGATATCTCAAAATAGTACAAAGACGGTAGCCTTTGGGTCGGCAGGGGGTCGAATCCCTGAGACAAGGGGCGTCCGATCAACCCTTCGCTACTACCCCCCTTAATCCGCAACTGATCACAGGCAGTTTTGTGTAAAAATTGTCAAATTTTGTTGGAAGGATTCGACCGAAATATAGATTTTTCTCTGCTCGCGCTCACCTATAAGAATTAGTACATAGTAGCTTCGAAGGTACGAAGGCCCCTTTTAAAATTTCGCAATTGGTTAGCCAAAATGGGTGTCTTGAAACCATACCAAAGGAAAAACCTTTGGTTAGTGAGGGTGTTGGCTCCCTGAGGAGGAGGTGTGCGCCCACTACCCGAAATCTGCCCCTGACTGTTTATTTGAAAGCTCTGATTTTTCAAGTTGCAGTCAAAGAACCAGAGCAGCTGTTACTTATGCTTAATTCTTTCAAAAAGAATACTTAAACCCTCGTAATTCCATATTGCTTATTTTTTTATTTGGTGTTGTGGAAAACTGTACAACAAACGATGCCCATCAAGAAGGCGGGTAAGTTCATATCAGCTAAAAAACAATCGCTGGTGAAATGTTTGTTTTTAAGTCAAGCTCAAGGAACGAATGATATTCTAGCAAATGTAGCCCCAGCATCAAAAACACATCAAACTTACGAACAGCTCAGTTTCTGTATGTTTACCTACACTGTTACTGATTTGAAAGTCGATTGAAACACTTGATTTATGCAGAATAACACATTTTTGGCGCAGTTGGATTTCAAAATTTAATTGCTAAAGCTTGCCGATCGGGAACTGTACCAATTTTAAGGAAGTTTATACAATTTTTTAATTAGAATCTTTTCCTAGCTTATTTTCCCAAGCAGTTCACCTTATTTTAGAAGAAAGATTGAAAATTGATTATAAGAGTTGCAGACCCTTAACTAGTTTGAACAAAAGGAGCAAAAGTTTTGAATTGTACTATAGAGATTTCAAGTACTTCGGAATTAAATATTTGATTAATATGAAACATTTCAGTTTCCTTAGAAGCCAAATTGTTGTTATTGTGATGAGAAATTCCACAGAATCAAGAGCAAAGTAATTAAGAAGCGTTCGATACGATCCATCATTTCTTTTTTATTAGAAATTTTAAAATAGAACTAATGATGAAAAATTGCCTTCTTTTAAAAGTTACTCGAAGCAAACCATTTGAGTTGAAAGTGCTCAATCCTCCCGCATGCAGAATCGAATTTCCAAAATTTCTTTTCCCTTCGATGGTTTATTTTTTGCTAAAAAAACTGACTTAAATAGATCAAATTGTTCTTTTAATAGTTTATATCAGGATTTTTCAATCATGATCAGGAAACTGACTTGGTTAATTAATAGTAAATTATCTTTCAAAATAATTAAAATTGTTGAAAATGACGTTTCAATTGATACTGCCTTTTTATCTTGATTTTGATCTCTAGATGAGTTATAAAAAGATTTAAGCTTCATCTTTTAATTATCTTGATGTTCACTCAGAGTATCAACTTTCTTTCACATGTCAAACAGATTTTGTACGTACGAAGCTCAGAAAACAATAGTGGCTTCTTTGCAACAGGCGTCGTTCTGTTTCAAAGTCAGATTTACTTGAATATTTTTGCTAAAGTATCAAATCAATTTTGCTATATAGATTGTTTATTCTTGCTCGCATGATCTACGTTTCCTTATTGCTGCTGCTCGTGAGTCAAAAAAGATAATTACGTTTTTTTCAAACGAAATTAGGATGGCATTCGACCATTCTTGTAAAAACAAGAAACTCCACTGCGAAATTTCTTGAATTAACTTTATCAATTTGAGTTTTTCCGTATGTGATCAGATGAACTAGTATGAAACTTTTTGAAAAATTGAACCTCAAGAACAAGATACATAAAGAACCAATTCTATACAGAGGTTATTAATTTTATAATTTTTCTGTGACAAAACAACTCGGTTTCCAAAATTTTGATTAATTAGTTCAGATGTCAAGAATCTTGCACATGGCTC